GTTTCTAGAAGCTGTTATTCTGTGATGCTTATCTTTATTTACAAACTCTAAAGACCACTTTTACTTTACGGAGGAATATAGTAATTATGAAATAATTGGATATAGAATTTTCTGTGTTTATTATATCAGATTATCTGATATCATGAGGCAAATAAAATTGCAAGGTAATATCTGCCTGCTGGGCCTCAAATCCTAGGGGCTCATTTTTAGGAAAAGTGTATTAAATAAGTGGTAAAAATTTTCATAAATCAATTTATGAATTGATCTGGCTTTGTGGCTTGGTAACTATACTTTTTAATAAAAATGCCATTTTGCTTGTCGTTTCTTTATTGCCTTATTTTATGGGGAATGATTAGCCATTCATTTTTTTTATCTTTAAAGAATAATAAAATAATGAAAGGAAAAAATGCATGCTGGTATTATAACTTACGGTACCTTCAGGGGAAAAGCATATTTCTAAGAGATGAAATCTACCTTATAATATGTATCTCATTATTGTTACCAGATATTTATTGAATATCTCCTAGCTGCAAAGCACTTTTATAGGCTTTCAAACATGGAAGTCGAACTCTAAACAAGCCAACCCTGCTGAAATGTGTTTGAAGTAAGCTATTTCTTCATTGCGTCAAAAGAGCGGAGAGAAAATATCCTAGCGATGTTATTAAATTGGAATTTTAAAGTGAAAAATTAAAATAACCACTGACACCACCTATTTTTCTGGAAACATGAGGCAACTTGTTATTATAAATGCTTAAAAGCACACTGATAAGCCAATACTAATACAATTGGAAGGTATGAATTATATGTGTGTTTCCTTCCCAGTTAGGAAGACACTTTTGGAGAGTGAATCTATGTCTCTCAAGCCATCTAATTAAAGCAATGCATTTATTTTGCTCCAACCCTAAGGTTCTGCAATGTGGTCCATCTGATGGCGTTGGAACCCAAAATCACCTGGCTTTCTAGGATACTGCTCAAGAAGTTATCATGCAGGCAGGCTGCATGATCTGCTTGATGTTTTTGGCACTTTCTTTCATCATCTAAGTAGCACAGTTTTTAGTAATGGCACTCAGGATTTAACAGCTTTCTTATCGGGCGGTAATAGCTCTCTAAATTAAAACCTAACTCCCCCATTAAAATCCAAATTTACAAATTATTTTGGATAGACACCTTTTCAAGCAGACATGTAAATTCTAAGTGTTTCTTGCTTTAGTCTTTGAAGCTATTATGTATTTGTCAGAAGTAATTTTTTTGCAAGGTACCAGATCAGTAACCTGACTTGTTTAATACACAATCATAAAACTTTTAAATAGGTAAAATTTTATCTTTTACAGACATTTTACTTCTGCTGCAAATTATCTAATTATTTCTGATAAAGTAGAGAAATGATAGAAATGGAGCATGGTATTAAGAATTCTGAAACCTGAGTCTAGTCCCATGAGTATCTCTTATTTAGTTGAGAGGACTTAGCATGTCTTTTAACCTTTACAAGTCAGTTTCCTCATTCATAAAAAAGAGATAGTAATATTTTCTCTGATTATGTAACATAGGGATACTGAGAAGATAAAATAATAAGTATTAAAACACTCTCAAAAAATGATGGGGTGTGTGTGTCTGTGAACATGTATACATGACGGATGAAAAATTAATAAATCCTTATTTGGTTCAAGCCTGATTATTTGTGGAAGTGAAAGTCATCACTTTTTAGAAAAGTTTAGGGAAAAACCAGGCTATTGTGTTGTAGATTTTCTTTGAATGACATGAACAGAGCAAATGGTTTCATACCATTTATTTTGCCTTCTTGGAAAGACTGCAGGAAAAATTGACTCTGTCAGGGCTTCAACATGGAGTCTTAAGACATCATGGTGTTGTATATTTGGTCGGAAGTTCGTTTTAATCTTCAAGGATTTTATAAATATCAACCAATTCACCCCAGTTGCATTTTCTAATACCTGGCGTAAAATTGATATGTTCTTTCGGGCTCCAAGTGTGTTAATATATAATTGCCATAAATACATCCTTTCAAAATTAATTTCACCTCAGAATCACACACATTCTCCAAAATAGGAGGGACAGAAAAGTAAACATCCTTTTTAAGGACAAATTTATATAACACCATGTAGCCTTTTCTATGGATGTGCAAAACTGATTCAGGATGACAGAAACATTGGCCGAATTATTGCCCTGCACAGTAACCCAGGAAATGTATTCCATGTTTTTTTATTAAGATTTTATATTATGATATGATTCCCCAAATTGAATTGTCATTTTTAAGCAGAATGAAATAGAAATCCTACATAACTGTACTTCATTTAGAAACTTGAATGTAGAAAATAATTTAAAAAATAATTATAAACTTTATAAGGGCATGACATTTTCTTATGATGGCTACTGGAACACATTGGAGAAAATCTGACACATATGCCTCTCCTTTCTCTTTAGGCTTCTTTACCTGCGACAACTGATCTTCCAGAGTTTTTTGTTGCTTCTTATAAGTGGCCTGGTTGGACTCATGGTCCGTTGGATCAAAAAAATTGTGCTGCATCCTGGGCATTTTCCACTGCAAGTAATGACATCATTTTAATTACTTCCTTATAAACTCCCCATTTGCCTCTAGAGACTGGAACAATAATTAAAAGGTTTTTAAAATCTGAATATGTAAATATGAACATATATGTTCAATTAAAATACCATTTTATTCTGACTAGAGAAAACAACCAAAAGATTATATAAAAATCAGTTTTTAGCCTAAAAATTGGTTTCTATTTTTAGAGTCTAAATTTAAATAAAGAGTGAATCAAAGGAGCAACAAAATAAAGTTGCTAAAATTTGTTTGTCTATTGAGAGTTCAGGCCAGATGATAAAAAGAGTATTAAAGTTCTTCATCATTTATAATGTTATCTGTAATCTTAATGCATATATAGACACACCACATAATCCTTATAATCTTTTCTGTTTATAAGATTTACAAAATATATTTAGTTATTCAACTAATTTGGTGTAAAATAAGACTTTAAAACTAAATAATAATTGATCAAATGGGTTTTAGTCATTTTAAATAAATATAAGTAAATATAAAGGTTCTGACTCAAAAAAGTAATATGACTGATGTTTTAATAAGAGTAGCTTCCAAATGAATGCTACAATTTCTCAAAAAGTATAAGGAATGCCTGTTTTATAGTTATATTCATGTAAGTTCACAAACCTAATAAATGAATTACTCAGGTTAACCCCACGATTTGGTCTCCAGAACTGTCCTCAAAGGAGTATTGGTTATATTTCAGCAATTAAATAAAACATAATGTGATGATGATTGGCCATTATGAAATATATTCATAAAATTATGCTCTAGGATTTGGAGGTAACTCCAAGGGTGCTCAAACAGTTTAAAACACTGAAGCACTATGAAATAAGGCTCTTAGAGAAGCCAGCTCTGTAAGAGTGGCACACGCTGGGGCAGAAAAGTGCTGATATCTTTGTGTACATATCATTGCTCCATCTTATCAACCAGATTATTCCACAGTGCTTTGGGTAGAACCATCCTGTTAGCCACGCTCACCTCTGGGGTGGCTGAGTCTATTAATTCCCTACTGTTGCCCACATCCCCAGTGTTCATGCTCTCTGGCTATCTGATGTCCTTAATGTGATAGGGACCCACATTGGGTCTTTCTGAGTCCTGTTCAGACGAGTGGGGGGAGATTTAATCAAATAAATCATTTGTCATTTTATGTTCATGTGGTTAATGGATTACCTCTATGTAATTACCTAGAGGTAATATATAAGAATTTTGCCTTAAATTTAGGTTAGACCAGTATTTCTGAAGATGTCTAGGGAAAAATGTTAGTGGTGAAATACTGAGAGCAACTTACTAGCTTGGAGGGTACACTGCGGTGTCCTCTGCACAGGACTAATTCTGGATTGCCCTCCTACCTAATTCACCAAAACACCAGAAAGAGGGTTTGTAAGCCTTTTGTGGTTTCAGAGGACACAGTTTTGTATCCTGTGTATTCAGTATGGTAAATCAGACTGATTTTTTGTGGGTGTGTTAAATAA